TATATAGGGGATTATATAGGGGACTACTAGAGGGGCTATTAAAGGGAGATTACTAGGAGTTTTACACTATAACCCCAATAAACCCCTATATAATCCCAGTTTCCATTTCATTTCCCATTTTCTTTTCCATTTGATTCTCCATTATTAAGGGGGATACTAGGAGTTTAGACAGTGGCTCATATAGATCCCTCGGGTGAACAGGTGCTGACGTTCTTGGAGAAAGCGGCGGATGATGGCAAACGCCGCGCATCGATTTGAGGCCCCACCTCACACTATGGGCTATTAGACTTTAAAGGTACCTTAATCTACCCTTAATTAGGGTCCTAGTAGGGAATTTTGGGCTCTAATAGCCCATGGTGGGCTGCCATAGAAGGATTTCTCAGGATGTATCGATTGCGGTTTAGGGTTTCGGGTTTAGGGATCAGTTTCTAGGCAGAATTCCTCAACGTTGCTTGTTGAGATTAGACCCGCAATCATGAAACACACACACAGCAATTACGTGCAGATGCTCCAGCACGAAGCTTCAGATTTGCCGACATCCTCCGGATACTGCTAATTGCAGCCGTGTTACTATTACCATTTATACGGTTGCTATTTGAAATACTGCAAGACCTTAACCTAAGCCCGAATCCCCAACCCTAAACCCTAAAGCCTAAACCCTTAGTCTACAAACATACCAGCACTCCCAAGGTCAAGTGCAAAAGAGTTCATGCGCTTAAGCTTTAGGGTTTAGGGCTTAGGGTATCAACAGCATGATACCTCGAACCCGCAAGCATGCAGAATTACCATCTATATGGCGTTTGGGAGCCTGGTATTCATAAGATCACGTGCTATTGCTTGCGCCATTACCCCCACCCCACCCCCTCCCACCCCACCCAGAGTAACTATCCTTGATCACGCAGTTTTTGTTAGGGCCTGCTTAAATATTAGGTTAAGGGTATTTTGATGATTGAGGTTTCCAGTGAACCTAGCTAATCATAACAAAGGTTTCTTATTAACGAGGTGGGAGGGGCAAATTAGAGGCCACCAGTATGTAAAAGAACGGCAAAGCAAGTGTTCTGCATAAATTTGGGGTAGAGGTAGGGATGTTATACTGCTGGTCAGATTGACATGTATGAGACCAGAGATAGTACTAGCGAGAGGGTTAGAGACTTCAACACAAACGGCAGCAACCCTAAACCCTCAAACCCAAACCCTAAATCCTAAACCTTAATCCCTATACCCTAAATAGTGGTTTGCCCCCTTGCACCTAGTGCAGACGTAAAAGTCCGAGGGGTTTAAAAGATAGTAGGTTGCACTTTCTTTTCTACTATCCCTATATATATAACCCCAATATAACCCTATAATCCCTATATAACCCCTATAACCCTTGTAGTTTCCATTTTCTTTTCCATTATCCCCGGGTAACCCCAATATAACCCTAATATTATCATGTCAGAACCCTAAACCCTAAACCTCAAACCTTAAACCCCAAACCTTAAATCAATCATGTCAGAACAGCGCAGGTGTCATCACCAGCCAAGCTGGCACCATGAGCATCGGGCGCACCCCCCCAAAGAGGGTGGCCCTCAACCCTAAGACGCAGTTTAGGGGTTTAGGGTCTAGGGTAAGCACCACATTCCACCCAAACCTTAAACCCACAAAGACCCCGAGCTTGGAGCCCCTGACACCCGCACCTTCGCATTTCACACGGATGCAATCTTGAAATGTTCTATTGGTAGGATATAATATATATATATATGTATATGTATACATATTGTACCAAGCTTCCCTAACTTGAGCTTATAGGACAAAGTAGAACACAAATTACTAGTGTGGGAGGCGCAATCACGCGCCCTTATCGAGTTTGTGCGGGGGATGTCTCCATTTTTGGGGCAGCAACCCTAAATCCTAAACCCTGAGCCATAACCTTCAATCGTGCAGAACAGCCGCCGAGTAGAGTCATCAGAGCCCCAGAAGTCACAGGGCACGAGCACGTTCACGCGTGCACTGGAAAACTTGCTAGGGGTTCGCAGGGGATAAGGGAACATACTTCATACAATCCCCATAAATGTATTCCCGTATTCCCTGCTAACCCTAAACCCTCAGCCTGAACCCCAAATCCTGTATTGCAATTCTTCCCTTGCTCCCCACTAACCCCAGTAAGAAAGGACCCGCACTTCCTGCCAAAACCCTGAGTAACCCCTATACTACTCCCCTAAATGACATCCCCTACAAACCCTAGACCTTAAACCCTAAACCCCAAACCCCAAACCCTAACAAATATTTGCGTTCTTTGGAGACTTTCTGGATGCGAGTCAATGGGCTTGCTGTGGCGATAATTCACTGGCCAAGCCCTGGGGCTCCGTGAAGGTTTTTTTTGGGTTTAGGGGTTTAGGATTTAGGGTCTGGGGCTTAGAGTTTAGGGTTTAGGGATTAGAGCTTACGTATAGTTTATGGTTTCGAGCTTTAGGCCCTGCAGTCTGTAGATCTTACCCTAAATCCGGAATCCTAAACTACCTTCTTTGGGCTATTTGGAGCCCTCGGGCAAGATCTGGCGACGTGTCATTTTTCAGGGTTAGTGACCAC